ACATTGTTTTACAGAGCTTTTACAAAACATAAATATTTTTTACTTGATATTTTCATTTATGTCATAGCAATTACAAACCTAGATTTTTTTGTTGTTAATAATTACAACTAAAAATACAATTAAGCAAAAATAATTAGTAAAAAGAGAATTTAATTTAAATTGATATTTATATAGTGAATATCAAAATATATATTTAGGGAAGAGTGGGAAAAGTGGGACACGTAAACTTTTAATTAGGATAGTTGCAATATCTTTTTTATTTGATGTATAAACTGAAACAAACAAGTTTTTACAAATAAATCTTCTTTTTAGGTATTGATTCAATCAGTCAAAACCTTAGGTTTCCAGCCAATTATAACTAAGTGTTTAAATACTTGCTTTTAGAGAAATCGTGCCATTGGGGTAAAGTGGGACAAGTTTAAGTAGAAGTGGGACAATTAAATTTAAATTTTTTTTAATAACAAAAAATTAAACTTATTAAATGGATAAAAAAAATATTGTTGTTCGAAAGAAATCTAACGAAACTGGGAATATTGATGAAACACAAATTCCAACAAATGTTGTTCGAGATATTTTCCATGAAATGTTTTTAAAACAGCAGAAAGATATCTTTAAGCATATAAGTGGTAACCTAAAAATAACTAACGATAAAATAAACGAGCTTCTTGATGAAATACATAAATCAAAACAAATTTGCGACTCGAATCTTAGAAAAGACAAATAAAGATATCGAAGAAAGCTTAACAGTTACACAAGACATTCAAGAAAAAAAGCTATGCGAATTAGAAAAGAAAATTAAAAACAAAAATATTATAGGCGAGGAGGAAAAGAATAACTACGACATACCCAAAAACGATCAAGAAACCTGGGATGAAACTGAAAAAAAATTATTAATTTTATTTAAAAACAAATTAAATATTAGTAACGTTGATATCGAGAGGGCTCACAGAGTTGGAAATAAAGAAGAAAATAAAACTAGAACAATTGTTGTTAAAATACAACATTACAAAGACAAAATAAAAGTACTAAATTCATCTCATCGACTTAAAGGAACAGGAATATACATCAACGAAGACTTCTCTTTTGAAACAACGGTCATAAGAAAAAAACTCTTAGTAGAAATGAAGATGCACAGAAAAAATGGTAAATATTCTTCTATAAAATATGATAAACTTATAGTTAGAGAATTTAGGAAAATCAAAGCAAGTGCTTAACTACTTTATCATTTATAATTAGAATTTTTTTTTTTTTTTTTCTTATCATTATTATTATTATTATTTTTTCTTTTTCAGTGAAATAATAATTAAATAGTTTATAAAAAATATCCTACTCATGAATGAAGATAATGTTGCACTTTCAGCTACCAAATTATAAAGTCATTCATCAATTTAGAGGATCTGGGAAGGAAGGAGGAGGTTTGTGTGTATTTATAAGTAATTCTTTATTATATAAGCTAAAAAAAGATTTTTGTTCCACAGCTAATGATTTTGAATCACTATGTGTGGAAATAATAAATAAAACCACAAAAAACATTATCATCTACGTTTTATACAGACCACCTTCCGGCTTAATAAAACAATTCGAAAAGCACATTAAAAACATAAATAAAAATAAATTAAGCGAAAATAAAAGCATTTATTTTATAGGTGATTTTAACCTTGACCTGAACATGACTCATTTAAATACAAACATAAATAGTTTCTTTAACGTCATATATCAGAAAGGCTTTATACCACTAATTAATAAACCCACAAGAATAACTAGAGAAAGCGCAACTATCATAGATCAAATAGTCACCAATAAATTAAAATAAAAAATAAAAACAGGCATATTTAAATGCGACATTTCAGATCATTTCCCTGTATTTCTTATTTCACAAAAATGTGATATCATTTATGCACAAAAAGTTAAAAAAAATACGCGATATATAAATAAAAAATCCATGGAAAATTTTAATACTCTTTTATCAGATTTAAATTGGGATGACCTCATATTGAACACGTGACCTCCTTCATATTGAACACGTGACCTCCTTCATATTGAACACGTGACCTCCTTCATATTGAACACGTGACCTCCTTCATATTGAACACGTGACCTCCTTCATATTGAACACGTGACCTCCTTCATATTGAACACGTGACCTCCTTCATATTGAACACGTGAACTCCTTCATATTGAACACGTGACCTCCTTCATATTGAACACGTAGATATGGCATACGACAAGTTTATTGATAAATTACAACAACTTTACAATTCAGCTTTTCCTGTAGTTACAAAATGTGTGAATAAAAAAACATTATTAAATCCATGGATAACGCCTGGAATTATAAAGTCGTCGAAAAAAAAGCAACGACTTTATAATAAGTTTCTAAAAAAAAACTTTCAATAATGAAACTAATTACAAAAATTATAAACGTATTTATGAGATGGTTATCAAAAAGTCAAAGATATATTACTATACTGAGCATTTAATAAAACATAAAAATGATCAAAAAAAACTTGGGACACAATTAAGAAAGTAATTGGCACGAAACAAAATGACGGAAATAGTCTTCCTATAAAACTAAACATTAAAAATAAAACTATTACAAATAAATCTTTAATTGCTGAAACACTTAATCAATACTTTGTCAGTGTTGGTTCCACTTTAGCGTCGAAAATAGAAACTACTGAAGTAAACTTTGAGTCATATCTTACTCCTAATAAGACCTCTAAGATGGATAAATATGAAATTACTGAAAAGGAACTCTTAGATTCAGTATACTTTTTAAAACTAAAGAAAAGTGTGGGGTTTGATAATATTAGTAATAATGTAATTAAAAAATCAATAAAGTACTTAACAATCCCTTCTTTTACATATTTTTAATCTCTCTTTAAAACTAGGCATTTATCTGGAAAAACTAAAATTTGCATGGGTCATACCTATTTTCAAGTCAGGAGACATATTTAATCCTGAAAATTACAGACCAATATCAATTCTTCCTTGCTTCTCCAAAATCTTAGAGCGAAATATGTATAACCGAATTTTGACTTTTCTAAATATAAATAATATTCTATATAACAAACAATTTCGTTTTCAACCAGGGTATTCAACTGACCATGCCATTATTAATATTGTTCACAATATATTTAAAGCATTTGATGAAAGTAAGTTTACCCTAGGAGTTTTTATAGATTTTTATAGCAAAGCCTTTGATACAGTAGACCATAACATTCTTATAAAAAAATTCGAAAGTTATGGTATTAAAAGTACATATTTAGAATGGCTTAAAAGTTATCTAAACAATAGAAAACAATACATAGCACACAAAGAAATAAAAACTGAATACTTGACTATTACTTGCGGTGTTCCCCAAGGCTCAATTCTGGGTCCACTTTTATTTCTTATTTATGTAAACGATTTCCATAAGTTTTCAAACATTTTAAACTCAATTTTATTTGCAGGTGATACAAATTTATTTTATTCTAATGGAGATATCAACCTCTTATTTAAAATAGTAAACAAGGAGTTTTTAAATCTAGCGGAATGGTTTAAGGCAAACAAATTGTCCTTAAATTTAAATAAAATCAAGTATATTTTTTTTCATAGACTTCACGATAAAGAAAATATTCCATTAAAACTTCCTGATCTTTACATTGGCAACTCTAAAATTGTTAGAAAATCATCATTAAAGTTTTTAGGAGTGATACTTGACGAAAACATGACATGGAGAGAACACATAAGAACAATTGAAAATAAAACTTCGAAAAATATTGGCATACTATACAAAGCTAAGCAAATCTTAAACCTAAACTTCTTAAAAATCTTATATTTCTCCCTCATACATTGTTATATAAACTATGCAAATATTGCATGGTGCAGCTCTAATGTAAGTAAAATTAAAAAATTGCTTAGTAGACAAAAACACGCTGTCAGGATTATTTCAAATGCAGGTCGATTCGCACATTCTAAAAAACTATTCAAAAATCATCACATACTCAATGTTCTTCAGTTAAACTTTTATCAAATTTTTATTTTTATGTACAAACTACATAATAAATTAACTCCTATAATTTTTAATACATTTTTCAATAAAATTAATCACGTGTACCCTACAAGATTTTCAAATTACAATTACGAGCAAACTAAAATACACTATTTGGCTACTCAATTTTCTATTGCCATCAGAGGTCCTAAATTATGGAACACTTTATTAAATAATCAGCTGAAAAATTGTTCTTCACTTTCTCTGTTAAAACAAAAACTCAAACAAAAACTTCTTAACGATGTTAATGAATTAAATTCTTTTTAAGATTCTTTTTCTTCTTTTTTAACAACTATCTTATTAACTAGTCTAACCAATTTAAATTTTCTTTAATTATCCTATTAGCTTATCTTCAGTTTTTAAGTGTCATTGCTTGTTTTTTTTTTTTTTTACAATTTTCTTTTGATTGTAGATTAGTAACTGATCTTAACATATTTGTATATATTTGTATATAATTTAGCCCCGGTCATGTAGATTTTATTTATATAACACGGCATTGTATTCTTTTTTTTTAATGACAAATATAAAAAAAAATTGTAAACACTTTTTTAAGGGGCGTTTCAAAAACAGTTATATATATATATATATATATATATATATATATATATATATATATATATATATATATATATATATATATATATATATATATATATATATATATATATATATATATATATATATGTATATATATATATATACTTATGAATAATTTATAAATATTAACACTTTTAAATAAAATACAATAAGAAAAAGCACATTCCGCTGGGCGATTAGCCACTTTTCTTTTTACAAAACTTTATTTTAATCTGCCTCGATATCAAAAATAATGTAACAAGACAGGCCAGTTTAACGTTAACCAATCTAAAATGAGTTTATCTATAAAATTAAGACTTATTGATATGCTGATTTGAAAAGATTAAATTATTAAATACAAACGTCTAATATATAATTTAATTTACTAAAACGTTTTTAGTTGTGGCTATTCAAGTGAAACCACACTCAAAAAAATACTTTAGAGCAAATTTTAAAAACTTGATATAGGGCATTAAACAATGAAAAAAATTATATATGTTTCACTTTTTACTTTGATATTGGTGTTTATTTTTACCATGAATAGTTATTTAAAAACGACTAAATTTAATATATACTCACAAGGTAGCATTCAACAAGAAACTGAAAATCTGTTTTATAGCTTGGAAGTTTCAAATCTTACCAAAAAGTATTCTCATTTAACAGAAACATGCTGGAAAAATACTTTCGCTCTTAATAAAAACAACAAAACAGTTTCTTCAGCACAAAGTGTACTTTGTTTATTTAAACCTTTAAAGATAAAGAGCAAAAAAGAATACAAAAAACCAATTGTTGTTTTGGGCATCGGTGTTCATTTAGGACCAGCAGCTGACAATAAGGAGGTTTTACCAAAAGCAGGTTTCAAGTATATTAGTTGGGAATACAGAGACAAAAATTATAATGGGCTACAGAATAAACTAATTCATGGTTATTCTAAGAAACATTTGAAGATAACGCAAGAAATGTTCTGGAATGCTTACAAAAATGATCCTGAATTAAATGAAGCAGATATTATAGTGTGCGGATTTGATGCATGGCATTGTTTAATATTTGCTCCATTTAACAAAAAAATTGTTATAAATAGTAATTATAGGTTTGATGGACACATAGCAACGTCATACGAAGATATGATTGAGTTACAAAAAGAATTTTATAATGCTGTAAGATATAATCCTGATGTTATTATGGGTGGTGGTATTCTTTATGATGTGATGTATCAACAGCATTATCTCGGTTCACACAAAATAATACCATTACCTGCTTCATGTGAGTATGTTCATGATCGAATGAAACAAGAACTCCAAGAAAAAAAAAGTTGCATTAATGAATGTAAAAGATCTAGCAACAAAACATTAGTTGTAATTCTCCCAAAACGTTTGTCAAATGGTGGGAGAAAGATTGCTAGTGAAATCATTCAAGAAGCAAGAAAAAAAGAAAGAACTTTCGAAATAAAACATTTTGACGAGTGTTTTCCTAGAGGATATAATTACTGTCAACTGGGTATGTATAAATTTTACACTTTTAAACTAGCAAACTTTTCTATCGGGCAAACTCTACCGTCAGCTGGATGTGGACTAATCATTTGTAAATTAAGCTTTACAGATACCAAGCAAACAAAAAGATATCTAAAATGCATCTAATATGCATCTAAAAACTGGTCTAAAAGATGTCTAAATTCAGGTCTAGAACGGGACATAAATAGACGTCTATCTTATAGACGTCTTTTAGATGCATTTTATTCGACACAAATAATTGCCTTAGATGCATAAAAGATGTGAAATATACATCTTCCAGATGCATATTAGATGTATAAAATACGTCTCTTAAATAGATGTCTAAGGCGCGTTTAAAAAAGATAGATAATAGATAATTTTTTTAGCTAATAATAGCTCTTTTATGCATCTAATATACATCTTTAAATGTATATTTCACATCTTTTATGCATCTAAGACATTTATTTGTGTCGAATAAAATGCATCTAAAAGACATCTATAAGATAGAAATCTATTTACGTCCCGTTCACGACGTGAATATAGATGTTTTTTAGACCAGTTTTTAGATGCATATTAGATGCATTTTAGATCTCTTTTTGTTTGCTGGGACTTGTTTGATACAAAGGTGTTATAGCGGTTAAATTAGTAATAAAAAATGATTAAATTAAATAAGTAAAGAAACATTTTAACTAAAATTACTTAATTTTATTTCATAAAAATATACATAAAAAACTATATTTCTGCATTGCCGTCAATATCTTCTTTCACGTCGCCGATATCTAAAATATATACATTAATGACATTTAAATGACTTTAAAAGAATATATATATATATATATATTCTTTTAAATATATATATATATTTTATATATAGAATATATATATATATATATATATATATATATATATATATATATATATATATATATATATATATATATATATATATATATATAATATATATATATATATACATGTATGTATATATATATACATGTATGTATATATATATATACATATACATATATATATATATATATATATATATATATATATATATATATATATATATATATATATATATATATATATATATATATATATATATATATATATATATATATATACATGTATATATATATATATATATATATATTTATATATACATATATATATATATATATATATATATATATATATATATATATATATATATATATATATATACATACATGTATATATATATATATATATATATATATATATATATATATATATATATATATATATATATATATATATATAATATATATATATACATACATGTATATATATATATATATATATTTATAAACATAAATATATATATATGTATATATATATATATATATATAAATATATATATATATATATATATATATATATATATATATATATACATACATGTATATATATATATATATATATATATATATATATATATAATGATATATATATATATATATCATTATATCGCCGATATCTAAAATATATACATTAATGACATTTAAATGACTTTAAAAGAATATATATATATATATATATTCTTTTAAATATATATATATATATTTTATATATAGAATATATATATATATATATATACATGTATGTATATATATATACATGTATGTATATATATATATACATATATATATATATATATATATATATATATATATATATATATATATATATATATATATTTATATATATATATATATATATATATATATATACATACATGTATATATATATATATATATATATATATATATATATATATTTATAAACATAAATATATATATATATATATATATATATATATATTTATAAACATAAATATATATATATATATATATATATATATATATATATATATATATATATATATATATATATATATATATATATATATATATATATATATATATATATATATATATATAATGACTTTAAAAGTCATTATATATGTATATATATTTTATTAAATGACTTTAAAAGAATTGTAGAATTCTGAATAATCTATTTTTATGAAATATTTTATATATATATATATATATATATATATATATATATATATATATATATTATATAATATATATATATATATATATATATATATATATATATATATATATAATATATATATTATATATATATATATATATATATATATTATATATAATATATAAACAAGAAGATTTGTATCTCAACCAGATACAATAATAAACAATTATAGTTTTACGAAAAAACTAAAGGAACTTGTATTATGGATACAAAAATTCTAGCATGACACAAAAAAGTCGAAGAATATCTTTTTAATACAGATATCAGTTTTGTAAATACTATTAAAACTAACCTCGTAAAACACTTCATATATTTACTAGATTTTCTAAGCTTATCTTTTCCCCATTTCCTTTTCAATTTAATTTGGACTGTAACTGATAGAAAATAACCTGATAAATATTTTAACAATAAACTTAAATATATTAATAAAGATTTTTATTTTAATATATGTAATAAATTAAAATAATAAATAAAAATTTTAAAATATGAATGCTTAAAATAATGAAAGGTATAAGCATTAAATTTGAAAATAAAATGCTAAACAATGTTTAGCATTACACTTACTTTAGCACACAAACAAACTTAAACACCTACAGTGAAGCTACCGAGTTTATCAAATTGTCATATTAAAAGTAAACCCATAACAAATAATGGTCAAAATGAATTGCTTTTGGTTCCTTTTAATCATATTTCTAATAATTAATAAAAACATAATCATTTACCTTTTCATGATCAAAAAAACATGTTCTCTTGGTTTTCCACCACCAATTTTTTTCAAACTATCAAGCTGAAATAAATGTAATAAAAATTAATGTAACTTAAATTTCTTTACAACATATTGAGTCTAACACAAGCTAGTTATTTTAGTTCATTTACAAATACTTTTCATTTAGATTCTAAACTAATAAACCAAATTTAAACAAACTTATTAAAAATTAAGATAATTAGATAATACCTAATTAGTTTACTCGGTTTTATCTTTTAGTTTATTATCCAGTGTAACCACTTCGTCCACTGATTCTAGCAACTTCACCCCAGTAGCCTGAAACTTATTTTCTATAACTTTTTTTAAAAGAACTTTTATTTCTGCAAGCTCCTTGAGAATAACATTTTGCATCTTTACAAACAAGAATAAAAAGATTGATTAACATATTTAGCTCATAACCAAAAAGCAAAACAATGCAATAACAACTTTAATATTCAAATTATACTTGAGTAACTCAAACTAAAATTCCAAAATTACATGTTTTTTTTTTTATTACTCCATTGCAGAAGTTGCCATAATATTTTGGAAAACCTACTTTTTAAATCAGCTAAATTTTATCTGTAGAATCAGACAAAGGCAAGAGAGGCAGATTGGAAACCTAGTAAAAAATAATTTTGACTAAATAAAATACTTTGCAATAATAATCTAATAAAAAAATAATCCACTTAAGTTATAGGTAAACCCGCTGAAAATAAATTAAACATTCAAGTTTTACAGAAATTCTTATTTAATTTTGACAAATAAACAACAACAAATAATATTCAGATTTATGTCAAACCGTTACTGATAACCAGGGGTGTAGAGTTGTAAAAAAAAAGTAATGACTCCGACACCAGTTGTTGAAACTTTTTAAGTACAACTCCAACTCCGACTCCAGTTGTTGAAATTTTTTGAGCACATCTCCGACTCCGACTTCAACTTCGATTACAACTCCAAATCATTATTTTAGAAAAAATTTTTAAATTCTTTAAAAAATATTACGGGATAAGTTAAAAATTTCTTTTTTGACAAATTTATGAAACGTTCTTTAAGGTTTAGTATAAACATAAGGTTAATTGAATGTTTTGTACATGCACGTACAATACCGAGAAGTTTTACTATTGGAGTCGGAGTCGCAATTTTGTTTAGCGACTCTGACTACGCTGAAAATGTCTTAACTCCGCAACTCGGACTCCACAGCCCTGGTGATAACTTTCGTGTATTTTTCTTTGGGCTTGGCTCAAGAGCAATTCTTGATATCTCCTCCTGTAAAAGGTTACCATATTAAAGAATTTTGTTTAACTACTAAAGGTAATGTTGACCAAATGCTACACACATGATTTATCAGATCACAATATTATATATAATCCATTTTTATTCTATTATACTTATCTTTTACAATTATTTTAAAACAAAAACAAATTAATAAAAAAGACCTCCACATTAACATTCAGTGGTGAAAAAACCAAAACTACTCGCATTAAAACTTGAAACTCTTTGACAATGTGAACTTTGCTTAGTTTTATTGTGTTCATCAATAAAATGTGAAGAAAAAACATCTTCTTCAATCTCTGAATCTGATAACAACTCTATTCAAAAGAAATAATTATAATTAGAAATATAAATAATCCCTCAACCATACCTGTTACTTAATTTAATCTTTCAACCAATTTTGTACTCTTTCAATTTCTGAATTCAAACAATTTCAGCATGCTTTCAATTAATTTTCAATTTTCATATCAAGTTGATTAAAGGATTATTTAATACAATAGAATGTTGTCAATGATATAAATATATGTAACCAATTTAACAACATTACATATAATAGGACACCCAAATAGTTAAAATAAAAGAAAAATCTTAGTAATACATAAAAAAGACTAATAGCTAGATAGATATTATTCAGATCAAATTAAACAAGAATCTATTTCAGTTTAAAAACCATTAAGAAAAAATTATGATATTTGTGTTATACACTTTTAGCATTGGGCTTATTCATAATAGGTGGCGAAGGTTCTGGCAATGAAGAGCGGTATGATTTGTTATTCTTATTTTTAATGCTTTCTTTAGCATATCTCATCTGATGTAGAAAGTTGTATTCTTCACAACATGAAAATGAATCTAATTATAAAACATTTTGCTACAAAAAAGTAATTAAGCTACTTTAAAAAAAAAAAACACAAAATAAGTTAAATACTGACCATCTGTTATCTTACATTTTATCAATGGAAATTTGTGCCATTCTTTTGTTGACGAAAGGTTGTTTTTCAGTGCATGATTATAGTTTTTTTGGGACAATAAATTTGTTGCTATTCTTTGTCAATTCACTTGTTTAGTGCAACATTACTTGGTTAAAAAAAAATGCAGAAAAACTTTCCTTTAAAGTTGGGTTATGCTTATACTCATTAGGCTTTTGGTCATAAGAGTATTCATTGTACAAAATCAATGACTCATGATGGTCAAAATATTCTTTTAGATTTTCGCAAGATAAGAAATCATTTCTTTTAGAAGTTCCAACATTCAATTTTTTTTCTATATGTACTGATAAAAATTCTAGTATTTTTTAATATTCCTTTTGAATACGCCTACTGCATCTCTTTTTGTATGCCCTTTTTGTAAAAGACATAAATGAATCTTGGTTCCTTGATAAAAACGATAAGTGCACAACCAATAAAACAATCTTTTGTGTTATTGAAAAACACTCATATATATATATATATATATATATATATATATATATATATATATATATATATATATATATATATATATATATATATATATATACATATATATATATATATATATATATATATATATATATATATATATATATATATATATATATATATATATATATATATAATATAATATAATATAATATTATATATATATATATAACATTATATATATATATATATATATAATATTATATATATATATATATATATATATATATATATATATATATATATATATATATATATATATATAATATTATATTATATATATATATATATATAATATTATATAAATATATATATATATATTATATATATATATATATATATATACATATATATAATATTATATATATATATATATAATATATATATATATATATAAAATATATATATATATATTAAATATATATATATATATATATATATATATATTATATATATATATATATAATATATATATATATATATATATATATATATTTTATATATATATATATATACATATATATATATATATATTTATGTATATATATATATATATATATATATATATATATATATATATATATATATATATATATATATATATATATATATATATTAATTACATTATCTTTTATTCTAGAAATAAAAATATCAACTTGAAAATATTAATTTTATATTTCTGCAAAATAAATTTCAAATCACAAGGATTTTAGCAAACATGCTAAGCATCAAATCATCGAAATATTTTGTGAACTATAATAGCATGTTATTTTATTATCTAAAATTTACCAAAAGAAATAATCATTAATGTCTTCCATGGGTTAAAATCTTCATGCTTTTTTTGAAATAAGATTACAATGGCGGTCATTTATAATTATCGCTCCGTAAAATTAGTTAAAATGTTTTTCTTTTTTTTTAAAACAAATCTATAAAAGACATCTTATAGACATCTAAGTTTAGATGAAAAAAAAATTATCTATGCACAATCTATTTTATGCATCTAATATGCATCTAAAACAGAGCAAAAATAGTATCTCTAGAATCAGACGTCTTTTCGATCTCTAATATACGTCTAAAATATACGTATCGGCAATAGATACAAATTAGACCAATTTTAGACGGTCTAAAAGACGTCTATTGTTTGCTGGGTAACAACTAACTTTAAAAAAAAAATACCGATTAAAAATATTGTTACACAAAATGCTGTTTCTTTTTTTTTCATAATTATTAGTTAAACTTTTGTTTTTTGATAATGTTCAATTATTACCAAAGTAATTAGTAATTTTATCTTTACAGATCAATTCGATGTCGCAATAATGTTAGGATATTCAGTGATGTCATATTTCAATTGTGAAGTAGCTAATATAGGTAACATTTATACATACATTTATATGTATATATATGAATGTATTTATATTGTATATTTAACATACATACATTAATATGCATATATTTTTATAAATATATATATATATATATATATATATATATTTTTTTTTTTTTTTCTTTTTTTTTTTTTTTTTTTTCTATTAGAAATATGTTTCTACTAGAATTTTAATTTATTTTGTTTTCATGTTTTCTTTCGGTGGAATGGTGGAAAGTGTTTTATTTGTTTATTTTTATTTTTGCTTGTTTAGTAAATCTATACTTTAAATATTATATCATCAAAAATATTCGCGTTTTACAAAAGTGATGATTGAGTTTTGGGTGTTTGTAATGAGTCTTTTTTTACTGCAGTATGGAATAGACGTAAGTCGCGGGGTAGAGCATAAGTGGCGATGACGTTTGTCTGACGGGATAAACTAGTTATAAGTGCTGATCCTCATCGAAACGCTAGTAATAATAGACGCAATCTGAATAGATGTTTATTACTTTATCACTACACAAGTTATGTTTACACACCAGCATTAATGTTTAATTCCATTTTGAGGCCTTACATTATTGTATGCATACTTTTTGTTTTTGCTAATCAATTTTTTGTTTTTTAAGTGTTTGTTTGGTGTTGTATTTGTTGTATATCTTTATTCATATTAGTTTTTATAAAACAATGTTGTTTTTTTTATTGTTAACATTGTAAGTACTGTTTAGGAGCATTGTCTGTCTTATTTGGTTTAAAAATTTTCCTCTTTTAATATTTATTATTGTCTTGATAACTGTTGAAATATACTTCGTTCGATAAATAACTCTCCTTTATTCTAATGTACTTCATTTTTTCCATCAGGCGTTCACTGCTCGTGTGTGACAATTCGGGGAGTTTTATATGTCAAAGTTTTTAGTTAATATTTGGCCTAGCCCGTAATGGTTAGTGTTACAGTCATCGAGCACGACTATTTTCCTAATCATAATTTTCTTTTGCGGTGACATTACTGTCACCGCAAAAAAAAATACTTGTTTCTGAAATATGCCTGGGCTAGCATTATAGTCATAAAAAAGTTATAAATCCACGCATAGATGTTTAATCATCATAGTTTTCTGGAGTATAACTGGGCTGGCTTCAGTGATAAATATTTTTACGCTGGCTTTTTAAACAAAATTTTAAAAATAATTGCATTATTATTAATGCGTTGTATATATATTTCTTCAATCTTTAAGAAACTGTCTATAAGTTTCTTAAAGATTGAAGAAAAGTTTAGTGGGTTAGGATTAAGTATTTCCCTCTACATTCTGCAATCAGAGGTTTGCTTGACCATTTCATTCAATTCATTGAATTTACTTTACCTGTTAAAGAGGTAAAAAAAAATTTATACACCTGGAAGAAAATTTATGGAACAAAGACACTAAATGAATTTATAGTATGTATCAGTGAACTGATATTAGTTAATCGTTTTTAGAAACAGTTCCATGTACCATTAAAATTTATATTCTTTAAAATATATGATACATTTATATGATACATACAAACAAATGATGCAAAATGATACATGATTGATTATAATTATGTTGCATATAAGATTATTTTATAGAAATTGCCAATAATATGTTGTAACAATTTTTATATTTTATGCATATTTTGTTTAGCAAATACTAATAATCTTAAACATCTATGACATCTTTAGGGTGTATTCACTACAGCTTTTCGCTGTGAAAAGGACCTCCTATGTTGGAGAAGTTGATACACTGTGTAATTGTGGTCAAGGATAGAAATAGCTTACAAACCTGTATGAATTTCTGGATAGTATTTTTCCTAGTGTTTTTACTATATATAAGGTTTATGAAAAAAATTAATCCTGATCTGCCAAAAAATTAATCCTGATCAAAAAATGAATATATATGAATATATTGATAAAAGATGAAATGACAGCGAATATACAGAAGACAATAATCAGTTACTATATTTGAATGAAGTATAGTTGTTTAGATCATTAGCATCTTGCACATGTGTAACTTAAAAACAAATAAGCAAAAATAATACTATAAATAAGTTAATTACTAGAATAATAAAGAATAATAATTTTCAGCTGCTTCCAATTACTTTTAGAAATAAGTGTGGCTTCACGTATGGCGGCTAAAATGAAAGATTCTTTCAAGTGATTTGACCAATAAACTAATTTTTCATTGATCAGCCATGAAAAACCGTTTTTTTCATTGAAAAATGCCACTGCAAATTTTTTTGACTTTATTGCCATCTTTAATTTAACAGTACAACACCTAAAAAATGTATAACAAATAAGTATATAATATAAAATAGCATTAGTTTAACTTTTTTGATCAGAATACTATTTTTTTCAACTGAAAATATCAGTCTAAAATTTATTGAGTTTTATTTCTTAATGTAAAATGTTCTGACTTTTTATTTCAAGTAGAGTTGGAAAACTAATTAGTAAAAAAAAGTGAGTTTTAAAGTTTATGTGGTTTGGACAGGTTTTCATAACAATATTTTCCTATTTAAATATGATGTTAAGGAAGTGATATTTGTAATTAAGACAAAACACAACTTTTTTTAGCCAATTGTTATCGCAATAATTTAGATATTCCTATATTAATGAACGGTATTGTACTCAATAAGTCATCCACCCTTCATCTTTTAGGATTTACTCTTACTTCTAATCTTTCTTGGAAACCGTATATCAAATCCGTTTGTATGTTATTGTACAATTATATATAAACAATAAGACCGACACATGTAAATACCAAGGAACAAAAATTTGATAGGCTTATTTTATATACCTAATTATTCTATTTGTAAAATTATAACCTCAGATAAAAATAATAATAATAATAACAGCAATATGTTATACCAAAACTCTTATAAAGGTTATTTGGTTAAAGATATTTTAAAATCCTCCAATTCAAGTTTGTTGAAATATCATACTTTAATGAAACCAAACCCCAAATTTGAATTTAATTTAATGTAACTTAAATTTAAGCCATAAGATCTTAATCTCATGCTCAATTAAATTTTGTAATCTCTGGGTAATAAGTTGGAGCCTCAAGTTTGTTGGTTCAGGGTGCATATAGTACGACTTTTTAGTCGTAGTAAAGGCAACCTACAACGGAGAATGCATTAAACATAGTTGGACCTGCTCTTGCAGCCAACCTCCAACAATTATCACATTGTCGTAATGTTGCTTATCTTTTTCTTTTCTACAAATACTATAATGGGCACTGCTATAAAGAGCTAGCGTCTCTTGTGTTATCTACTAAAACTCATTCTCGTGTTACTCGTCATTCAATTAAGTCTCATCCTTTTCTGTGACTGCTCCTAAGTTCTCCAAATACTCGTATTCCTCTAGCTTTTTTTCGTCGAACATCAGTTATTTGGAATTCGCTTTATTCATTATGCTTTCCTGTCAGGGTTAAGGTTGGGGTTTCCTTTGATATAATTTGCAATCTTTTAAGTCGTCTGTCAGTCGTTATCTTGCTCTACAATGTTAAAAAAAAAAAGTTTACTTTAAATTACATTGCATTAAAATGGTTTATAAAATTAAAAATATAAACAAAAATTTTATAGAAAAATTACTTCTTCTTTTAATTCAATCCGAAAAAGTTGAATTAAAAAAACTCCTTATACTTATTTTCTTTTCATATCTTTAAAGTTTTATTTTGCAATCTGAATTTTTTTTGTAAAAACTTACCAACCACATATATATATATATATATATATATATATATATATATATATATATATATATATATATATATATATATATATATATATATTATATATATATATATATATATATATATATATATATATATATATATATATATATACATATATATACATATATATATATATATATATATATATATATATATATATATATATATATATATATATATATATATATATATATATACATATATATATATATATACATATATATATATATATATATATATATGTATATATATATATATATATATATATATATATATATATATATATATATATATATATATATATACATAATATATATATAATATATATATATATATATATATATATATATATATATATATATATATATATATATATATATATATATATATATATATATATATATATAATCTTAAAGGAGAATATATGTTGGATATATATTATATATCCAACATATATTCTCCTTCAAGATTGTGTCTTTGCTCCGTTTATATAAAATAGTTTTAAAAACATAATTTAGGTATTCCATTGTTTGTACCAACACCAGAGTTATATGCTTATTACGAAAAGGTTTATCATCTTGTGGAAGAACGAAAACAAAGGTTAGACCATACCGCATATGATGCCATGAAGCAGAATAGCAGATCTTTAAACTATGGGTAATTCAACTTTCTGTTAAGTTATTTTTAAGCAATTGAAATTTAAAAAAGAAAAATCAAAATTTTTAGTTGTTGATAAAAAATGTCATTTACAGGGTATAATTTAAATTAAACTTATGGTACATTTTGTATTTTAAAGGTACAATCCTAATGATGATTTTAATGAGAGAGCTCTACAACGTTGGCTCAGTTATTCCGACTATTACTATTACGGTGGTGTTGAAATTTTTGATAATTATGACAATCTGTTCAACAAACTCTCTTCTACAAACCTTTTAAACTTAAAACTTAAAGCATATGAACATCGCCTCGATAACGCAAAAATTAATGTTGAAAATTGGCAAGCAATTGGCAGGTACTTTTTTGATGAAGCTGATTTTTCTCATGAAAAAACGGTTATGCCAAATACATTGAATGAAGGTTTAGAAATGTGGCAAAAAGCTGTTACTAGACCTAATTTTACGTCAACTAATGGAAAATATTTTGATGGCATTCCGATTGTTGCAGTTATGCTTAATGATTTGAAAGGAATTATACCAGAGTGTTCCAAGTTTAAACATGTTAAAATTTTATTATTAACAAATAGAACTGAGACAATTAATGAATGTCAATTGTTAAACTATGAAACACTTTTTATTAAGTTAGAATTATACTTTATATTTAGTAAAAATTTAACTGATTTGATAAAATGGCACGAAGTTGCAATGATAATGTATGCAGTTTCTTTTCGTGCAAGTAAAATTATTATGTTTTCAAAGATAGAAAGCGTTTCTAAAAGTTGTTACATTTCAAATGAGTTTGAATTCCTTGGAGACAAAAAATCGTGGACAATGTCATTTTATGATTCAACACAATATTGGTATGTTTTTGGACCAGAAAATGATCAAGTATTTAAGTATTGGCTCAAAACTCTGTCGTCATTTACAAGTGAGCTTGATACTAATTTGATAACAAAATGCCAAAATTATTTTCAAAAGAAAAAAAGTAACTTTTCCGTAGATGAAATTGAGTACCTGAGTTCATATTTGCAATATTGGCAAAGTGATGAAGCTGAAAGTTTTTTTCATGTTGTTGATCAGTTAAACTTTGAACTTGCGGTTCGTGGCTATCTTTCAAAACAACATGCTAAACTTCATCGATGGCTGTTGCACAACCTTGTGCAAATGGGTTATTATCAATTGCCATTAATAAATAACTCAAATAAATTTAATATTTAATTAATAATTCAATTGAAATCTAGCTTTTACTTTTATGTATATTGAAAATAATTTAAGTAACGCTTTTTTATGTCAGCAGCACTTGGAGCATGATTTATGTTCGTTGTTCCATTTTTAACATATTTATGTTGTATATGTTACATATGTATTACGTTTTTCTTTGTTCTTTAAATCTACACACTTTATTCATTAAAAAGAAAATTACTTTTCTCCGTTTTATAACCACCCACTTAAAGGTAGGCTCTCTTGTCAAAATTCTATTCCGACGTTGAGCGTCCTTTGCGTCCGCGAGCTTGTATTTCTAGAAAATAGGCGAAATTGGGTATAATAGGGATTTGCGCTGCGATGTGCACATACACCGACTGATTTTTAGAGAGAACATGCAGCGGAGTGTGGAAACAACGAACTACACCAAAACAATTCAAAACAGTTTCCCTCAGAACTATTGTAAAGATTTAAAAAATTTCTTTTAAAACTTCTTAAATTTTTATTTAAATTGCATTAAATTTATCACGCTCAAGAAATTCTTTTATGTCAAAATTATAAAAAAAGCTGCAATTGCTTTCTAAAGCACCAGTTTCACTAAAATAACTTTGATCTCTTTGTTGAGTATCAAACCATTGGTTTGAAAAATATTAAAATTTTTAGAATGATTTGAATCCATTTTAGTGTTTTAAAGCAATAAAAATTAAAAAAAGTAATAAAGATTAAATCAATAACTTTAAGACAAAAATAAGATCTTAAAAGTCGCGCGTAACAAGTTTATCATATACAACTTTAGCATATTTACCTTAGGCTCTCAAATCTTTTGCTTCTTTAAATAACTGTTTTCGCAATTCCAAAGTTCTTTCACTGTAGTCTTTGTTTTCGTAAAATCAATCATTCCATAATTTTAACTGGACATAGTTATCCAACGCAGTTTTTTTGTCTTTGTAGTTTAAAACTTTGACTATAATGGTTTTTTTGTACTTTTTTCGATCACTCCTTTTTTTTTCCCGTTCTGTGCGACCGTTCGTTGTTGCCACAAAAAGTGGCAACAAGTTTTTAGTGATGAAAGTAACTTTGAAGTAATAAATAGAAAAAGTAATGTTCTTGTCAAAAGATTTAAATCAGAAAGTTTAGTAATCGTTTTGTTTTACCGAGGTTGAAAGTGGCGTTGGAAATGTTGGTATTCGGGACTTTTTTAATTTAAACGGAGTAGGTGTGTAACATTTATACAGGTCAAATCAAGCAACATATATATAGAGACCAACTGCATGGCTTGATTAGTAAACATGCTGACTGATTGAAACAAATGGTGGCAATATCAACAAGATTTGGCGCTTGCCCACACAGCACGTACAATAAAAGCACGAATGAACAAAATTAAGGTAGATTTGTTGGCCTGGCCAACTCGAATTCCAGATTTGAATCCAACTAAATCTATATGATCCATAAATAGCCTAAAGCAAATACGATCCATAAATAGCCTAAAGCAAAAATTAGATTCCGTTTGAATACGAGTTCCAAACAAAACCTGCAACAATCTTGTAAAATCAATGCAAATAAAATGTGCTGCTTGCAAAAAAACTAAGAGGATATTTAAATATTAGCGTAGACTTTTTTTTTTTTCTTTAAATTATTATATAATGTTTATTGTAGTTTTTTGTTACCATGTACAATGTTTTTATATACAATTTGGTTTTTTTTAATGCCATCCGTTTCGAAGATATATAGTAGTTTAAATATGCTTTATGCAACAAAAGTTTATCGCTGTGTGTGTGTATATATATATATACATATATATATATATATATATATATATATATATACATATATATATATATATATATATATATATATATATATATATATATATATATATATATATATATATATATATATATATATATATATATATATATATACATATACATATATATATATATATATATATATATATATATATATATATATATATATATATATATATATATATATATATATATATATATTATTATTACTATACACGCACACACACACACACATATATATATATATATATATAGATATGTAAATATAAATATATATATATATATATATATATATATATATATATATATATATATATATATATTCATTTATATATATATATATATATATATATATATATATATATATATATATATATATATATATATATATATACAAATTGAACTGTGGTAAAAGCATTTTGCCCGAAATTAATATTTAGGTCTGCCCCAAGGCACTTGAAAATTTGAGTTTTTTGTTAATTTCGCAATTTTTGGTTTAAAAAATAATAATTTCCTATCATTGCAAATTCATGTTAACTGGGTATGCAAAAGTTGCCTTTTAGTTCAAGGTAAACTGTGGTAAAAGCATTTTGCCCTAGGTTAATTTTTTGGTCTGCCCCAAAGCTCTCGAAAATATGGGTTTTTTGTCCATTTTGTGGTTTTTGGCGAAAAGTTAATAATTTCCTATAATTGTAAATTCATGTTGGCTGGGTATGCAAATGTAGCCTTTTAGTACAAGGTAAACTGTGGTTTTGATTTGGCCCTAGGTTAATAATTAGGTCTGCCCCAAGCCACTTGAAAAATGAGTACTTTAATTTAAATCCATTCAAAACCAATTTCGTACATACTTCAGATTGTTTATAGGCATATTAAATAACATTACAAATGCATAATATATCCAAAAACTTCACAGTTGTTTAAATCTTTATAATTGAAACTGAGACTTAGTGTTGAAAGTTTTTGTCTTTGATCTCAATTCCAGTGAGGCACGAATCATTCCATCTCTGCGATCAAAACTGCAAACAGTAGCTGATGCTTCAGTAACAAGCTTAACGTGTCTTTCAGTTGACTGAGTGTGACATGGAAACTCTGGAGTGTTTAAAACTGGTTCAGTCAATGAAACACCATTTACAAATGACTTTATTTCATAAGTTGAGATGTTCTTTGTAGCAGGGGGCTCGCTTTTCTGGACAGCACTCCAGTCGATTAGATTAGTGCCGTCATCTGCTTCGAAATTAAGTTTCGGCAAACGAAAGGGTCTTAGTGACTGACTGTTTTTTTCCCTTGTACCAAGGATTCTTCTGAATGTCAGTTTCCTTATGTGTTCGCGCTCACTAGTCAACATTGCAAGTAGGATGTTTTCGTAATGACTGAAATAAGCATTTCTCTGAATTACCTCCATAGATCATTCTCCATAGATGGAGTGCCCTTTGAGTACAAGATGATTTCGTCTTGATATAAAACCAAGTAGGAGCGTAAACTTTAACAACAAATGTTGCAAGAGTCACTAGATTTTCAGTTGGATCTTCCATCGAAACATAAAACCGCAGAACTCTGCTAGCTGTTGTCAGCCAGCGCGAGTGAACTACAGGACCTGGAGTCTTATTTGCTAGATTTATTGGGCATTCACCATTATTCACTGCGTGGCACATTTTGTATAAATACATTTGATCTGTGCTTAAATCTTTGAAATTTTTTTTTTTTTTTTTTTTTTTTTTTTTTTAACAAGATAACAATAAGTATATTTCAAATAAAACCAATTTTACAACATGGAGATTTATACATTTTAGGGTGGGTTTATCGTAATATATATATATATAAATAATGTTACATGGTTTATATACTAAAAACAGAAAAACTAAAAATATAATATCATAAAGAGAAATATTTAGAACAGCAAACTGTTAATATATTTATTTAAGAAAGGATATATAAACAAATTTCTCAAACTTGATTATATAGAAGTCAAAAACTTCTTTGTTTATTTAATAATTGAATTTAAAAACTAAAATTGTTTTTTTATGTTTTAAATTAAGGTAGTTTAATATAAAAACTTGTTTTAAATGGTTTTAAAATTAGAAAAAAAATATTTGCAGTTACAACACGCATGCGCTGTAAATTAACAAAGTTAATTTACAGCGCATTTCAAGTTTATAAAAAATAGTGCTGGCTATTAACCCATGCATTTAAAATATATTCGCATATCCGTCGTACCACTGGGTCACTAGGGACATACTTGTAAATCGTGTTTATAAAATAAAACATCATGGCGGTTAAACCACGACCTTAAAAAATAAACACACAACCTTCGCCATCACTGGACAGCTAAGGTCATGCAATAATTCATTTTTAACACTGGTTGAAGATCCAATTGTTTTACCTTATTTATGTAATTGCAATCAAAACCTACAATTCACCATACTTAAATGGTGAATGTTAAGTCTTTATTATTTTTATTGTTTATTGCATTGTTAAGTGAGAAAATCTTATGGAATTTTTCAATGTTATTTTCTCTGGAATATTTATTATACTGGATTTTCCAGATATATTTAATTTCTTTTAGAATGTTTTCAGCTATTAATGCTGCTGGAACATTACGATTTTCCTTAAGTTTGGAGTTTCTATATCTCCAGAGCTCATTTGTTGTAATATGAGTGTTAATAATTTTTGCTGTAGAATCTTTTTTCGGAAGGTCCTCTATGTTTATCAGAAACAGAGCCTGTACCGAGTTGAAAGGTTTCAAAGGTAGTAGTTTTTCATAAATTGTTCTAACTCTTTTCCACACAGCCCTCGTCTTGCTGCAGAATATAAAAGGGTGGAGAGTGTCCTCCTCCCGGTTGCAGTTTTTGCACATGGAGTTACCGTGAAATTGTCCACGTTTAATTTTCCAGGAGTTAATTTTTTCTAGGGTAGGAAGGGAATTTGTAAGAATTCGCCAGTGCGTATTCTTGCTTGTTCCCTGAGCGTGGGAATCAAAATTTCTTTCCCAGATTTTTTTCCAAGGAAGAGTCTTTTGAAATTTTGCTTCCCACCTCAATTGAATTAGTTTTAAATTTAAATTTTCTTTTTGATGAGAGATTTGGGAGTAAATATTTTTAGTTGTTTTATGGGTGATATTGAAGATTTCGATATCATTTTTTATTCTATTCTATTATTATATTTTTATTCTATTCTATTATTAAATCTTTAAAATTTACATCCGGAAAATCTCTATAGTTGAAAAATGCTTTACAGGAAAATTTTCACAGATTGGAAGTAATTTACCAATTGGACCTTAGAAAGCTTTTGGTCCACTTGTGGTGCCATCTAACTTGCACAAAAGATGTCTAAAAGGGAGCTCATTTGCAAATGAACCAATGCAAAGACCTATCGACCCAGCAAACTCGCCATGCTTGCTCCATGCATGGCCCAAGCCAAGTGTTGCTCACCGTTTAATGCATGGTCCATGCATGGCAGCCGTTTTTCGACCAGCGTTTAGCCGTTGCTTTGCCAGTGCTCATTTTTATGTTAGTTTTGGTTCATTTTTTATTTGTTTTATTTATTTTTAACTTTTAACCGGCGTTTTTGTTGTTAATTTTGCTTTATTATTATTATTTGTTTATTTTATTTATAACTAATACTTAGCACATAAGAGAGTTTAAATTAAGAGGAATTCCTCGTTCAAAGACGTAATAAATTGTCGGTGGAAAAATATGTTAATGTTTACCTAACTCAAAAAAGGTATACGCGAAAACATATAATTAATGAGATATTTCAAAATATTATAAAATAGAATCTAGAAAATTATGTCCACCGTTTTTGCAATACGTTATATATTGATAAATTTTTTACATTTTAATAAAAGTTAACTAAAATACAATTCATATTCATATACAGGTTTAAGATGAGTAAAAGCTTGGCCATCATTTCTTCAACCGTCATTTATTCGTCATTATGGTGTTAACTATCAATAATCTTCTACTTCACATTTTAACGCTATCTTTCTCGCATTTTAAACTGCTCCTGATAGATCTAAAATAAAACAATTAGGCCGATCGTAATAAAAGACACATTGTAAAAAAACTAACGCCAAAATAACAAAAAGTATATAACGCCAGATCTGGCGTTAACATCAACTCGAGTTGAGCAAATATAACACTAAATATAACGGCAGAAGTGCCGTTATATTGGCGTTATATTGAGAAAAAATAAACTAACGGTTGAAGCGTTATATTTGCTGTTATATTTATTTTACTAATCCAACATTAATAAACATAATATTGAAAAAAAAATTAAAATGTTTGGAAATAATAATTATGTTTATATGATATTGATCACTTACAGTCATTTTGAAAAGATATACCATTACCATTGCTAATAGATGGTGATGCCGCTAAAAAATGCAAAATATAAAACATATAAAACATCAAACGACATCTTAAAAATTAAAATATATAATGGCCTTATGAAAAGGTCTTTTACAATCATTTTGAAAAGATATAACTTTACCATTGCTTTTAAGTTTGGATGTACCTTAGGAATACCAAATAAAAAGAATAATAAACATATAACCTCTTTAACAATAAATATAATCATTTTGAAAAAATACAACCTTACCAAGGTTACCAGATGTCAATATCATTAAAGATTACAAAACGAAAAAAATACATATAACTTAACCACTGGTACTAAATGCTGTTGCTCCTAAATACTACATAATAAACAATAACTTAAAAAAATATCTTCTTTTACAAAGTCATTATTAACCATTTTGAAAAGATACAAACTTACCATTGCTACCAGATGCCATTAAAGACTACAAAATGCAATACATAAAAAGAAAAAAACATCTTTAGAACGTCATTTATAATGAATTAAAAAAGATATAATCTGTAAGATTATCATAGGAAAAACAAAGTACATAAAATCATTTGATTGGTTATATACAGCTATTTCGAAAAGATACTTTAGAACGTTACCATTGCTACCAGATGTTGATGTCACTAACAAATACAAAAACAAAAAGAAAACAAGCAGACAACCCCTTCAAAATATATGGAAAATATACTTGTAGTTAAAAGATGCTTGTGACATTACCACTGGTACCAGATGTCGATGCGTATTAAGTCTATATACTTGAAGATACATATAAATTATTTAGCACAATAAGTAAGCAATAACTATAAACTATAAATCAGAAAAAATTTATTAAACTTTTATAACTAGGATATATCTTTAATGGCTTCTTTTCTAAAGTATCTAATGATTACGAAGCTTTAGCATGTAGCATTTTTTAATCATCTATAATCTATAACATCTATAATCACCTATAATAATCTATAATAGCAACACAAAAAAATATTGAACAAAAAGCATTAAAATAGGTTAGTTGCAATAAATATATATTTTAAATATAGCTTAAAAATATAAATACATAAAAATAAAATATAAATACATACATGTATGTATTTGTTAATAAATGTATGTAAGTTTTCAACCAGTGCACTGGTCAAAAACTCAAACCGATAATTTTAAAAAGAAATATGTTAAAATGAAGAAAACCTTTCATTAAAATCCATGCAAAATTTAAGGTATTAACCAAAAAAATAAATTTCAAAACTCAAAATTTCAAAACAAATAAAGTCCACACCTTAATCTTGCACTGAAAAATTTTCTGTTATATTGTATGTATGTATGTATAGTAAAATATAAAAGTATGATACTATAAAAAAAATGTTATACTTAAGTAATGAAAGTAAAATATAATATATCAAAGAAAATTCAAGAGTTTTGAGTTAAAGTTTTTAAAGCACGTTGTGCGCGGCCACCATTTCTGTCCGGAGCTTGCATCAGCCACCTTTTTATGCACTTCTCAACATCTGCATTACTTCCTCCTTTTTCATGCTTTTGAACTGCAACTGTTAAATTTAAAACAAGATATATGGGATCAACTTAATTACCACAAAATAAATGAATATTATTGTACTTACTATATACTATGCCAGGAATTTTTTTTAACTTTCCAAAGGCGTGTTTATTTTTGAATTTATCACTCCAATTCATTTTTAGAGCTAGTTCATGACATACTAGCTGATTCATTATGTTAAATGTAATTGATTTCAAATTGCTCCCACCAATTACACCAAGCAACCTTGACTAATATAATATTTATATAACTACAGATATATATATATATATATATATATATATATATATATATATATATATATATATATATATATATATATATATATATATATATATATATATATATATATATATATTTGGAAATAGATTATTAAAAATAAACTTTTGAAGCTTACCAAACCAACAGAAGAACTCATTTCATCTAATATTATCAAATCCTCCCAATTTTTAACAGGCAATATGACAGGTAAATCTTCAATTGGAGACTCATTTGTACAGCTTTCTAACCTCATAAAAATAGTTTTTAATATCTTTTCATTGAATTTCTGCCTGTTTTCCATCACAACGAGCTTTTCCAAAATTTTATCCATCATTAAATCTGAAAACAATCATCACCATCATTATCATCATAATTATCATGATCAAAAATCTAACCTGTCCTATTAATTGGTGACAAAATTTGACCATTTTGAAAATATGAACTTGTGCCACTATCTAAATTAAAAGAGATTTTATTTTTATAAGATATATATATATATATATATATATATATATATATATATATATATATATATATATATATATATATATATATATATATATATATATATATATATATATATATATATATATATATATATATATATATATATATATATATATATATATATATATGTATATATATATATATATATATATATATAGATTTTATTTTTATAAGATTTTTTAAGAGAGGGTTATAACCATATTAAATTTACAAAAAAATAAAAGAGTACCCTCCTTGACTGAAGTAGCCCCCTCAGACTTAGGGAACAATAAAAAGAGAAAAAAAAGTATCTGACTATTTAACCAATTTGTAAGATCACCTTTAATAAACTGAACTTATTAATTGATTTGATTAAGTATAATAACTCACCTAAAGAACTAT